AAAGAGAGAATTAAATAAAAGTTATCGAATTTTAATTAAAAAACAAAACAGAATATGATAATGATATATATGATCCCAAAAATTAAAATGAAAATGTATGTAAAACACACACAAATATTGAGAAAAAAAAAATGAAAATGCATATATGAATATATATTAACAATATGTAATAACAGCAACAAAGTCGATAGTTTGAGCAAACATGTTTGTTTTTATGTTTATTTATTTGATACTTTTCTGTTTGAATATACAATTTATGGAAGAATATACGGAATATACAAAGAAACCAAGTGAAAAAAAAATCAATTTTGAATGTTCGATAAAGAAAGATTCAAATAAATATAATAATAAACAAATAAAAAAAATAAGTATATGTGTGCGTGTATATATATGGTTATATATGATTATATATATACATTTACATATACACATGAATATATATATGGCTAGAGCTGATTTTGATTGATAAACAACAAGTAAAGAGAACGATGTGTAGCTCTTAAGTTTTAGTTTGTAACTTTATGCCTTAAGTTGTAAGCTTAAAAAATAATAATATAAAATTAAATACAACACATTAAAAAGCAAACAAAACAAAAATAAAAACAAATACAAACAACAAACAAAAAAAGAATAAAACAACAACAAAACAAATGTATAACAAAACGTGCCTTTTGTCTCTTCGTCTCTCTCTCTTTTGCTCTCTAGGCTATTTTAACAGCATGAGCTGAAGCTGTCAAGTAGCTTACATCACTGTTAAAAGACTCAGTCACTGAATCGTGAGCTTACATTGGCAGCAGCTGCAGCTTAACAGTAACGCCTGCTGCCCCTGGTGCGTATGCAAACAGTTTTCCCTTTGCTGAAGTCTGTTTACGTTCTGTTAATTGCTGATCGCCTGGTATTTTAGCTAAATTTTTATACAAAACTTGTTGACCGACGTGACCCTGAATGGATGGTGGGGAGTGACACAGATGACTTGTGTCGCCGGCCATTGTTATTTGGAATTTAATTGCAACTTATACACATATTGTTCTGTGGCTTATTCACAGAAAATGTCGCATTTTATTTTGTATACATACATACATATTTCTGCACATACATGCCATGTAGTCTAATTCCAGCATGCTCTATTATTATTCCATCTCTATATGCGATAAACGATAAAATAACTAATTTATTTTCACCGCAGGACACACACATACATACGTACATATATGTCGGAATTCCCCTCGCACTAATTCCACCTCCCTATCAAACTAAGCCACGTGGCTAGCAAATACCACAAGTGCACATGCAACGACATGCACACAATACATACATATGTATGCCTTCGTCACATGTACACACACACACATACATACATACGTACATATTTGCTCAGACCACATGCCAAAGAAAGTTGTAGCATCCAAAATGAGCCCGCTAATTTTCCCTTCTCTATTAAGATAAACGCAAAATGCCTTATGTATATAAATTTTTCATTAACAGTTAAACTCATGTTGTAGAATTTGTAATTAATATGTATGTATGTATTTTTTTTTTTAGAACGTCCGAGCTTTGACTTGTTTTATTTTATGTGTATGTATGTATATAGCTTAAGCTATTGCTTGGAATCTATAATTAGCATCGACTTCAGTTTTGTATAGTATATTACTTTAATCTAGATTATAATCTAGATATCCAATTATATGTAGTTGTATTACATTAAACTGTCCTTAAGAACTGTCCGCTATTAACACATCGCCTAAAGGCAACCTCCTCTTGATTAAATCTCTTGCAAATTCTTCTCT